TGGTATGGCCTCATATCACGCATGGTTTTACCCCCACCCGTGTGAGTTCGAATTGTCTGAAGAGAAATACTACATTGCTGCACTGCATATAAATCAATGTAAGAAAAGAAACTGTATGTGACGTACTAGGAAGTACTCAATGCAAATTCTCTTGAGTTCCGATACTTCTACCGTCTGTTTTACTATATTTATTGGTTGAATTATGAATAAATGGTGAATGGTCAAATAATTCATTAAAAAAATCCACAATTAATAAATTAATTTATAAATGTGAATTATGAAAAATATAATATTAATTCATTTCTTTCATAATACCCTTTCTAGTTTCTTGCTTCTAATCTTTATTTTTATATTGCTCATTATGTACTGCTTTATTACAAGAATAATATTTTCCACACAAGGTTTTCCTAGTTCACTTCGATTTAAAGAAAAAAATCAAATAAGAATTATAAACAAAACTGGTTGTTTAACAGATCTTTAATTGGTAAATATTATAACCTTACTCGTTTCTACGCACTGTTTAGTACTGTCCTGCGGCAGCAGATACCTAAATGACATATAACTAATGAAGGAATACAAATGTTCCGAGAAAACTCGCTCGTTGACTGATTCGAGCGAGGAACTCTTTCCCCTCTGCAGAGGCGAACGAGAAAACTCTTTCAAGGATGTGTGGGTTGATTAAAGTTCTTCGTTTCGATTTTCCACGTTTCTGAAAACACATTTCCCGGTATAGTCAAATGTAAGTATGGCCCGCAACCACGTTAAAGATTTCAGTTCTGGCCCTTGAAGTCTCGCAAGTTGGACACACAGGACTAACGCCATTATAGTGCAATTTCTATAAAGCTGCCTCTCAAGGCCCGTCTGCACAGTGGCATTATGCCATTGCATTTCGCGGCTTTCTCGGTAGTGCCGCTTAATGTCGCATGATCAAGCAGTGCTTGATACGGACGTGATTGTCGACATTAGCGGCACGACCGAGAATGACGCGAAATGCAATGGCTTAATCCCACTGTGAAGACGGGCCTTGAGAGGCAGGTTTAAAAAAATCTCACTATAGAAGGAAGAACTGCCCAATATCTGCTTCATTTGCTTTCAACATTTTTGTCCATAAGATATGGATTTAACAGGCTAGAAAAGATGACTTGGAAGAGCTGTCTCCAGTATTTTCCAGCCCAGGAGCTGACTGGGAGCTGTCTCCAGTATTATTTCACACATTTGCAGAAGCATTGGAAGACAGCACAAAAACCATTATCTCTATGAAATTGTATTTTAGAAATCGTAACTAATAGTAGTGATCTAAAGAGACCAATAATGATATACACGCTTTTGTTGTTGCCTCGTTGCCCGCACTTGTGACATAAGAAAGGTTAGTTTAAATAAGGAGTCGTCCATAAATCCCGAAACGCTCGAGGGGGGGGGGAGGAAGCGTTATGCTGCTTTATTAGGGTAAGAGAGCGTTATTTTAGTGTAACCTTACGCTAATATTGTTTTTGTTTTGTTTCAACATTTTCTGTATTGCTCTAAAACATTAAGAAATTAAATTAAAAAGCTATATATAAATATTTACAATAGAAAATGTATTTGCATCAATTGTACAAAGATTGAATCGTAGATTACGAAGAAAATATTCGAAAATGATATCTAGTATAATGTAGAATACAGTTAACGCGGTAGGTTCTCGCCCATGCATCCTCTACGGTAACAGGTGCACTAGTCACAGAGATTTTTCTCGTGCTTCCTTCCTTCCTTCACGTAACAATTGTCCTCCTATCGAATTGAAAGGTGCAGACAGCATCCCCACTGATTTTTTGACATTAATTGTGAATAATTTTAATATACAATACAAAATTAATAAAAATTGTATAATTTATTTTTCCTTCTTAGAAAGATCGGGGGGGCATCGCAAATAAGTGGTTTCTTTTTGGGGGGTGGGTGCTGGGGTGGCAGTGGGAGGTATATCAAATTTCAATTTTTTACATAATTTACATTATTTATTATATATATAGTATATATATATATATATATATATATATATAATAATAAATATATACTAATACTAGATTGGCAATGAACAACTTTTTGTGCCAATAGGTGACCGTTTCCTGGGAACCAATCATTTCAACACAAATCTAAGTCAAATTGAATTCGATTTTTATGTATCTAGGCAATATTGTTGATATCATATTAGATTATTTTTAATTTGAAAAATGAATTGTACAAAATACCTTAAATTGTGAGAAATGTGATAATTTGTTTAAACATTCACCAAATCAAGAAAATTACAAAATATGTTCCACTTGCACCACTGAAATATAGTGTAGGAAACCTAATGCCAAAATACCAGGGAGGAAAAGTTGCTGCTTTGGGTCACGAGAGCGAAGTAATCATTCATATCTCCAAACTTTCTAGAATGAGGAAGGATTATTCATCTTTATTATTTAGCACTCATTGATGCATGACTTTTCATGCAATTCACCTCACACAAATCAGAGGAATGTTGAACAGGAAGTGGGCACATATTCCCAACAGTTTCTAAACTGTAATTGGGAATTCAGAGGGCGCATATTTTCAACAGTTTAGATAATTTATAACGATTCATTTGACAATATTTAAATACTTTCTGTGTGAACAAAAAACATACATTTCGGAATCCCTAATAAAGAGTACCATTTTTCCAGCCCTTTAAAAGGAAATCAATTACTAATACCATATAATGATATATATGCCTTTGGAATTACCAAATAGCCAGGGTGAATGCTTGAGCAATGTCTGAAGTAAAATATATGCATCCTTTACAAAAAATTATAAGTAATCTAAAAACATAATTTAAATATAACAATAAATTTGAAATAATTAAAAAAAGAATGTATTTTAAAACACCACATTTAGACTAGTTAGTTTCTTTTATGTTTGAAAAACAAACTTTCTAAAAAAATCTCATTCTGACACTACTATATTAAGTTTCACTTATTAGCAGTCTTCAAAATGTTAAAGAATCTAGCACAATATAACCACTAAAACTTTCATCAAGTAAAAGGAAGTAAAAACAAGTCATCCTAGCATACAATAATACATCTCACACTCATAATAATTATTAAATGGTTAAACACAGCATGGCGAGTTAGGAGTGGTGTTAAGTTGTGAAATGCTCCTGTGAACCAGTAGCAGAACTTCAGGACAGACAAAACACATTGTACGCTAGAAAGATGCACATCAATACAATGAGATATAAGAAGGTTCTGATAATTCATAATATTAATCTGTACATTAGGAATATAATTCACAAATGTTACTTAAATTATTACACTGATTAAAAATATTTAAGTTTGGTAATCTGTCCTGATGAGAGAGAATACTAATTGTTCTGATACATTGGCAACCTAAAAGTTTCCTTTCAACTATCTATCTATTAAAAAACACACATTATTATACCCTTGCAAACACGTCATTATAAGTCCCACATCTTAACTCTCTGTAGTAAAATGACCCGTTGATTATGAATACAATAAGAAATTATCTTCCTATCCTGTAGTCAATGTTTAGTGATTAATGTTGAAACTTTAACCATCATACAAAATTGTTATACTTTTCAGAAATCCCCCCCTTCAACATACAACATACACACCTTTGCAAAATGAAATTTTTCTTTAATGTAATAATGAAGGGGGAAAAATCAAAACAATCAAAATATACTCATCGCTGAAGCTACTAAATAAAATTGTTTGATTTCTTTTAATCATTAAAAAGGAATGCAAAAAAAGGATGAAGGATAAATGTTGGTGGGAACAATCAAAATAAAGTACACAAATTATTTCAAAAATATATTTGATCATTTATATATTTTAACAAGACGAAATAATAACACAATGGTGCTGAAAAGCAAAACATTATTAAAACGAACAACATGCAATATCTAGAAAAATATAAAGACAATTTTTCATGCACAGCAGTCAGCTTGTGTGGAATGTGGGGAATGAAATTAATATTGTCACTGATTATGATTATCTAATACATGAGGCCATGCTGATAATTGGAGAGATCGCAGGGAATGCTTTGAAGTGTCATTTTTCGCTCAAAATATTTGAAGTTTAAGATTTAATTTCCTTATTCTCATAAAACAAGTTGGAAACTCAACTAAATTGATTTGTTTATTCACTACCCTAGCCTAAATGCAAAGAACAAGAAAATGTTGGTAATACTAGATATTTCCAGTTGGTATGGCCTCCATAGGGAAACCCCAACTGCACATGATCTGCCCCACATTTGTGGAATGCAAGTTGGCAGTTGGTAGAAGATTGTTTAAATTTAGATTATTTAGTCAAAAACAGTTAAAACTGTACGTAACATAAAGGAGAGATCATCTGTGCATGTTTTCTTGAGTTCCAGAATCCCTTTGCATCATTTTAACCATAAACAGTTGAAAGATGAGTAAAAGTTAAAGATAAATAAAATTAAAATTTAAGAGAGCATGAAATTAGCAACATTTGAAAAACTAGATATTTCCGTTCCAGAGTAATAGAAAACTTATTTGCAACGGTAAATGAACTGCAGATATGATTTTACTGCATTGCTACCAAAATAGTAACTCGCCCTTTCCTCTACTCCTACAAGCAAAAAGAGAGTTCCACAAAAGTGATACTACATTTACGTCCAGAAGCAAAACAAGAGGCCATCTCAGCATTTGCTCAATGGATCAGGGAATCTGGACAAAAACCTGATCGAGAAGGGGTCATTGACCGGGAGGCTGAAGTACATTATTTGTTACAAGCATATTAGGTCTTTTAAAAAAAAATTATACAATACAAATGAATACTAATTAATTATATACCACTGTTTGTTAAAATAAACATTATAATTTGTTTTGATGATCTGTGTAGTCTCTAATGGTATAGAAACAGTTTTGCAGCAGAAAACATTTTACTTTTAACGTAAATTTGTGAACAGACTTCAATTGTTTAATGTAATCTGGCAATGCATTGTAAAGTAATGTACTTGTACATAGATTTCTGATAGCAAGCTGATGATGTTGACACTTGATGAACGTGATTTCTAGGACGTATGTTGTAATTATAAATATCAGTAGTCCATAAAAATATGTTCCACCGTTAAGTAAGTCACTTTTGACAAATATTACAGATTTGTAAATAAAAAGGCAGTGGTAAGATTCCAAGCTCAATGAAGAAAGGCTTGCAGGGATCACGTGGATGGCATTTTTTGCATTATTTGAATAATTTTCTTTTGCAATCTACAGGTCTGGGTACTACATGATGAGCTTCCTCAGAATATTATGCCATATCTCAGGCGGGAATGCACGTTTGCAAAATACATGCAACAAGCTGCATGAAGGCTGACAGAATTTGGAAGAATTCCGAATGTGTAACATAATTAACTTAATTTATGGTTTCTGTGGCTACTGCTCCAAATGTACTAGATCGTGGATAATATAAGCCCCTGAATAAGTGCATTAAAAACTCCAGCAAGGCATATTCTTTATTAAGGTATATAATTCCATATACTTTAATTATCTTATTTATTATCATTATTATAAAACAAAGTTGCATCATGTTAAAAACAATATAGTAAACAAAACAAATGCAACACAGTGAGTCATTTACTACATTAACCTCATATTTATACAAATAAATTACAACAGGCAGTGGATCATATGAGGCTTTGGTTAGGACACTATTTGCTGGAAGAGCATATTATTCATAGAGCCTCCATTTGTATGTTATACTTTACTTTCCCGACAATAAGGATTCTCTTATTAAAAAACCCAGGCAAGTGACACCAAAGCTCAATAACCAAATGCCAAAAGAATTGAACAGTTTTGTTTTTGCTTGAATTTCAGTGCTGCTCCATTAAAACTAAGCCTCACAGACAAAAATTCAAATTTTTTGTGTCTGAAACATCCAAATGATTCAACTTTCCATCATGTTGTCTCTCCCCATCACAATGCACTTCTTTTTTGGATACACAGTTTTGGGAAAATAATATTTAGTTAAACATGACTAGGAAGCAATTTTACTGGATATTCTCACTCAAGATTTCTTGGTTATCATTTAAATCCCCTACAGAAACTTCCTTCAAATTCTATATTGCACAAATGATGAAGTAGATAATGGATTAAGCATACATTTCCTCAGTCAATACAAGTATATCTTGTACACGGATAAATTTCTTTTTTTCCTCACATCTAGCTCCACATTTGAGATTTCGAAACTAAAAACATTTTGTATTAGCATGTAAGAGGGTGGATGATAGCAGGAGGTAGCGATCCCTTTTCACTGCTCACCATGCTGCAAATGTCATGCTCTAAATGTCTGTGCCCCAGGTTCTAAATGTCACAATAAGATGCTCAGTGACATAGCATGACAAAAATCAGAATTCCCAATATAGTTTTGAATATTTAAGACCTTATAAACTACAAAAATGTATCCTTGAATACAGTGTAACCACTCATATCCAACTACTTAGGATATCCTGACTTTGTCCCCCTCCCCCTCCCTAGCAACATTGATGTTTTTTGTCGATGTCACATCACTATTGTACAATAAAAAGGACATGCCATTACATTTTAATCCCTTCAGATAATCTATGAATTTTTTCTAATCTTCCTTGGCCTCAACACTACATTAGAAAGCTTTAAACTAGTGATGTTACATAATATACTCTATCACATTATTTCTAACTTTCAGGATTTTTGAAAATTCAGAGTTAAACAAAAACGAGACCAGTGCCATTATTCTAAGCATTCTTTGTTCTATTCATGGAAAAAAAATTGAAGCCATATTTGAGAATTTTTTAATAAATTTCATTAATATAAAGCACAAATTACATGACAACTTTTCATTTTCTCCAAAAATTGTACATGACCTTTTTCAGAGACACTGTTTTTTAAAATAATTTCATTTAAGAACAAATCTCTATCTTTAATAATGAACATTTGCAATGTCCATTTTCTGCAATTTTCAAAAAGACGGAAACGAGACCAGCACCAATTTTGTTACTGCCCTTTGATACATGTGAGGAGAAAATTTAAAGAAAAAATTTGGAGACATTTTTAGGAAAATAATTGTTTAAGACAATGTTCCTTGCAAAATTATGAGTAAACTACTGTTATTTTCGAAAAATTGTACAGGACGATATTTCAAGATCTGTTTTTGAACCAATTTTATTAAGGAAACAAATCTCAATGTTCAATATTGTAGTTTAGTACACTGAAAAAATTTGAAATTTTGCCTTTTTTCAAAAAAGGGATTTTAATGAAAATGAGACCCGTGCAATTTTTTAACAGAGATCTTTTTGCTATCTGAGGGCAAAGTTTAAACAAAAAATTTGGAGCCATGTTAAATTTCATGTTTTTAGCCCCTTGTTTGTTTTTGTATGTTTTTAACTTTTATATCTTCTTAATGGTGTTACAAGACAAAGCTTGGAAAATTTCTGTAAAGAATACATAGGATTTTCTGTAGTGTTCAAAGTATAATGAAGCTGTTACAATAATCATATTTTCCTATTCAATAAATAAATAAATTTTAAAAAATCGATGAGCATTTTGCTTCAACTGGTATAGAACTTAACATGTTTCCCCCTCATACTATGCCACTGAACATGCTTTCCATGAAGTGGAACATAATTCTCATTATAAATTCAGATTTTCTTTTAATAATTATTTTTACATACCTTGAAATTTAAGCGTCAGCATGCAAATCAAATGCATACTATTGAATAAAAACTCAAATATTGGGGAAATAAAATAATCAGTCTGAAAAAGAATAAAGAGTAGGTAGAAAGCAAATCAAAATTAAACCTTTTCAGAACCATACAAGATAAAGGAAAGTACTTAATTAAGCAGATCAATGAACCATGAAATCAGCAATTCTTATAGAAAGCAAATTAAAACAAAATATAAGAGGAAGAGGTTATTCAATGAAGCATTTTTCTTTCTTTACATCAATTTCTTACTTTTAAAACCTTGTAAGCCTTACATAATTTCACCAATCACTTGTTTTGATGTAATTTTATACATCTTGACAAAATGAATAAAATTATCAAAACATTGCTAAGTCAGTGTTGGCAGAAACACCTCAGAGAGTATCTTGTTAGAAACAGATCATCACAGCAGATGTATGTAACTAATACATGTGTGCATTATTGCAAGAAACACTCATTTCAGATATATCACTAAGTATTTAGAAGACCTTAAAATAAAACATATTCTGAACTAGTGATGAAATACAGCTATAGCAAAAAAGAACTTAACTACATATAACTACTCTGGCTCAATCAATGAACAATAGACAGAAGTTAAAAACTGAGCAATGAAATCTGGTAAAAGTCCTTTTCGTCAATAACATGTTCAGTACACCAAGAAATCCACCATCTAAACAGATTAATTTTAAACAGTACCTACCAATACTGCTCTGTCCAGTTTCTTACAACCCTGTGTGTAAGCAGTATCAATATCTACACAATGCAGTCTTGCTTCTGCAGGGGTATCTCGGAAACAATTAACACACAACATGTTCTTCTGAGAATTGGAAAACATGATGTACTGCTCACCATGGACAGCACACTGGAACAAAACAATTACCTATTCACCTTGAATAAAAATGTTTTGCAAAGGAATTTAATTATCAGTTTTGTTTCATGGATGTTTATTTCTTTTTAGTAAATGACATTTCATACCAATTTTGAACCATTCATTAAGGATTCACTTCTCTGCCAAACAAAAAAATTAAAAGTTTTTAACATAACTATTTTAACTGAAGCATATCGTCAACAAGCATAACACTACAATTTCTATTATTATTATTTTCTCTCGGGTTTCTACTGATTTTATTACGTATACATTGCAATCAAGTTTTCTTGTTTTTACAGTTCTCGGCAGATGGTATTTTTTCATCTATCTCAACCATAAATACTTTGGTAATAAAATAATTAAATATCATTTTCTAATAAAAAATTTTGCTGAGACAACAGAAAAATTAAATAAGATATCAATTCAAAGAATTTTCTTATGATCTATTTTCAAAATTGAATTATTACTCCATTATTAATAATTATTCACTCAAAAGAAATTATATCAAATATTTCCTCAGGGACCAATAAAACTTTTTCAAGAGCCAAATGTACCTCAATGCTATATTAATGAAATTTTTACAGCATTGCCATCCAATACAACGCAGGAAGAAAGATTTAATACGTAGTTTCATTCCAACATGGAAGATATCTTGCACATAGTACCAGTCTGTACTACTACTGGCTAAGAGAGAGAGGGGAGGCTAATGAAGATTCACCCGTCCCCCCCTCTGTCACGTAAAGCCAACAACACAAATTTCCAATTTTTTCATAGGTTTTGGAAATTTTATGAATATTTCATTCCATATTTTTTATGTAATACATTTTATATGATTTCATGAAAAGTCAGAATGCTCCCAATGTAACAAATGTGTTATTTTTTGGGGAACTGACTCTTTGACTGTACACTTGCAAATTACAGATGTCCCGTAAAATATCACGTAACACAGTTTCAAAAGTAAAATTTAAATATTCAAAAATATACATTATATTTACAATGTCCAATTATATTGCAATTTTTGGTATATTTGCCATTTTTGCAAACAATTAAAATAGTCCTTAACTCAGAAATTAATTTTAAATATTGAAACAGAATCTAAGTGTTGACTACAGCAAGTAAATGTTTACCAAGTACACAGCTGACATTTTTCAAATTGTGAAATTCTTTCCAAGACAACATAATAATACTTGAACATATGGATATGATAACAAAATATTGATAGACTAATTTATTTGTAATCACTGCAAATTTTAAAATTACTCTATATTTTCTAATAGTCATTATATCAAGAACTTAACATATCCAGTGAAATAATATGTTTATTAATGCAAGGCTATGAAACTTCTAACCAAATTTTCAAGGGGGGGGGGGGACATACCCTCTGCCTCCACTGTGCATACCTACATATATACATCACAAAACATTTTCAATAGTAACAAAAATCATTCACTATTCCACTTAAATTTGCTTTAAATAACAACAAATAAATGCAATTATTCTCGCATTTTCAGCCTACAGCTCTCCTGAATACAGACATTTCGGTTGCTCCAAAGTTGTAAAAATGAGAAAATTGTACCTCTAAAGAGAATTAAAATCAAAATAAATATGTTTGTTTTTTATTGTGTTTTTATAAATAGATATCTTCTTCTCATTGTTCCTGTAGTATACATACGTTTTGTGGTTTTCATGACCAACCAACCTTAACAAATAAAGTCAAAAGAAAAGTAATTTTACAGGAAAGTGCTGAATAATATTTTCACTTTTTAAATATTAATATAGTATCTTGGAAAAAAGTGACAATACAAGGCAGGCCAAACGCAATTCCACAATGCTAAACAGTCTGTTTCTCAACATCAATGGTGTGTAACTAAAAAATGGTGAGATCTAGGGCCTGATGTTTGAGATCTCACAGTTGTTCCTCTTCACAATGTTATCAACAAAATGCATTTTTTGGGGACAGGTTGAGACATAAGGCATGTATTTTCTTCTTCATAAAAATGAATGGAAAATAGGGGTAGTGTTTCAATATGTGACGTTTTTCTCACAGGTGAACTAGTTATGTACAATAGGGATCTGATTTTGGTTTAATAACAGCAAATTCTGAAAATCCTGACTTGCATAAATATGTTACTAATGCAACTAGTGTTTGAAGAGCCATAGCAATTATTTGGGGATCATATTTTCTCTAACTTTGAAACTTCCAGTGTCTAAGAATCAGAATTTGTTTACAATGCCTAATCTGATGAAATGCCCTAGTTGCTCTTCCTCTGCAGAACTGAGTGAGGGTGAATTGTTGAATAAATTGATTGATTATATTGTATTTCAAAGCGAGTCTCCTATAGTAAGACCAGTAAGTGTAAAATATATTATCTCTCGGGAGGTGGCAGTAATCCTCCATTGGAGCAGGAGATTCAGTTCCATTATATGTAAGCTGGTGGGGTTTTCCCCAAGAAAGGTATCACCTCGGCCGGAATATGTTGTAAAAGTGTGAATGTGCATGTGTGTGCACGCCTGTGCAGGCGTGCGTGTGTCCGGGTGTGCGTGTGTGCACGCTTGGGCTGGCGTGCGTGTGTGTGTGGTGTGTGGTGTGTATGTGCTGGCTGCTTTGCGCGTGTTGTGCTGCGGCTGGCGTGCGCGTGTGTGTGCATTGGGCTGGCTGTGCGCGTGTGTGCTGGCTGTCTTGCGTGCTGGTGTGCTGCTGGCGTTGTGTGTGTGTGTGCAGGCTGGCGTGCGTGTGTGTGTGTGCTGGCTGGCGTGCCGTGTTGGCTGGCGTGCGTGTGTTGCTTGGCCGTGCGGCCGTGTGCTGGCGTTGCGTTGGCGTGTGTCTGCGGTGCGTGGCGTGGTGTGCTGGCGTGCGTTGCGTGATGTGCTGACGTGCGTGCGTGTGTGCTGACGTGCGTTGCGTGTGTGCTTGACGTTGCCGTGTGTTGTGTGTGACATGCTGTCGTGTTGTCTGGCTGGCGTGCGTCGTGTTGCTGCTGTGCGTGTGTGGTGCGCTGACGTGCGTTTGTGTGTGTGCTGACAGTGCGTGCGGTTGCTGGCGCGCCGTGCGTGTGTTGGTTGGAATGCGTGCTGGGTGCTGAGCGTACGTGTGTGATTTGGCCGTATGGTTGTGGCGTGCGTGTGGGCCTGTGCGTGCTAGCTGTGCGTGTGTGCGTTCTGGCGTGCGTGTGCGTGCTGGCGTACGTGTGCGTGCTGGGGTGCGTGTGTGTGCTGGCGTACGTGTGTGTGCTGGGGTGCGGGGGTCTGAGGAGAGGAGGATCAAGGTTGAGGGAGGACTGATCTCAATGGCCTATGACTCATTTGTTGAGAAACTGCTCAGGCAATCGTCTGACATCGGTCGGAGAAACCACGGAAAACTCCCGAGCAGAGCAAACGGTCGCTATATGTTGTGGAATCGAAAATCCACCACAGTTGAAACTCGAACCTAGGATCTCCCAGTCAGCGATGCTGCAGAGGCAACGGCATTGCTGTCACTGGGCCAGCCCAGCCTCTCGGCGAGTTGGAGGCTTAACATTGTGAGTAATGGGAGAAACCAGATTGCAGATCTTTGAAACATTTTTCATTCTATAATAGTAATTTTCAAGTGAAAGCAAAAATTTCATCATGCAGCTACATAAAGTTAGTATTAGTACCTCAGAAGGTCAATTTTACTGCATTTATCAAATTTCAAAATGATAGAGCAATTTTAAAACACTTTTCCCACGAATTTGTTAGATTTGAAGTATTTTTGTTCAATTCATTTCTGTCTTAATGGTCTTTCAAAAAAAGCTAAGTGAAAGCCAGTGACTTACAATAATATAGCAAAATAATCTGCTCACTACCCGTTATTACACTTTCCAACAATCTAGCTATGAATTTACAATGTTTAATGTAATTTACAACCTACTAATCTAATCCTAGGGATGTTCTGAAATTGAGCTAACAATAGACACAATATTACCCCTGTTGCATATCAAAACTATGTCTCAATAATAAAGCTCTTTTAATAAATATTACAAAATTCTTTATTATATCAGCTGGACACTACACCAAACTCTATAAATGTCCTTATTTTTAGTGATAACCAAACTTCAGGATTTGAAGAATATAACAAAAAATCTTGAAGACATTGCTTGTGCAAAGTTTATATTAATGTGTGTACTCCATTCATTACACTGACAATTCAAGACTTCAGGTTAAAATAAAATTATATTCAGGCACCCCGAGGGCACATCATTTGGACAAGAACCTTCTCTTCCACTGATTTGCATTCACATTTCAATTGCTCACATATTGTGAGTTGATCCATACACATCTCAAAAGGGGAAAGGAGATATACAAATATCAGATAATGATGATGAAGTGAAAAAGGATAAAGAAAGGAATTAGTTTATACATATGAGCTTATCACAAGAAATGAAGCACATCCATAATAATGAATTATTGTAGATTAGTTATAACCTTTGGTTGGGTGCAATTGATCCAATAGGGACAGCAATTTCTAATCTCCTACTTCCCTTTCTAAATAGCAGAACAGTTTTTGTTGGGTTGAGGAGCTGTTTTTCTTCTAATGACCTTTCAATGTACATCAGTCACTTTGCTTCACATCTTCCAGAGTGAATGTGGTGACACAGTTATCTGTCAGGCACATTTCACCTGATTACAGAAGGTTTTGTAAGAAATACTACGTTTTATTTTCTCACATACTACATATTGATGTGGTAGAATGATGTAATGCTTGCAGCAGAAAGTGGTGAATTTTCAAGAGAACAATTTGTATTGTGGGTTCCTAATTCCAAAACAACTGGTGCTACAGCATTATTTCTAATGTTTAAGTAATGTAATACAATTTGAACCTGCAAAAGGGTTTCAAAACTTCAATTTTGGCCATGCTGAGATTCAAACTCCTGTACTTACCTAATAACTTAGAACTTTGTTTTCCACCCAGACGCTGCTAAACAGCTCTGATAATGATTGCTACACAATGAAAAAAGAGGCTAGCTCCCACTTTGCGTTAAATGCCCTGCTTCACCAAAACATCAATGTTGTATGCAGGAAAACAGAGACATGCACTGAAAGAACCACCAGTTAGTGGTGGCCCTAGAGATGGGTTGGCGTGAAGACTATGTTCCCTTCCTCCAAAGACCTAGCAATTTTTTTTAATGAGATAAAGATGCAGTAAAAAATAAGAAACCAAATAAAAAATTGACAAAGAAGAATTTGAAAGAAATCCCAAAAATGTATCTACTCTACAGTAGCTGTGTGTTTTATGCCCCGTAAACATGCAACAGTCTGATTATTCTATTAACATGAAGCAAGTTATTTTCTTTTGTTATGCGAGAGCACTGCCTTTTACAAAAACTCTGGCACTTCAGATTTCAGTAATATTTTGTTTTTGCAAGGAACTAAAGGTTCCATATGAAATCAAATTTAAATTGTAGCAAATAATTTATAACTAACTTATAAAATTTATAACAGTCTATAATGTTACCAGAGTTTGTAACAAGTCTGAAGAGTAGAATATATATTTAGAAATTTTTGACATAAAAAAACGGGAAATATGTTTTCTTATTATACGTATCTGTATTTCTTAATTGTTTTTTAAATTAGGTTGCCCCCCTATTACCTGAATTCATTTTCCCTGTGTTTTACAATTTTCTCTGTCTTAAATTTGGCAATCTCTGGTAGTACTCATTTATAACTATAAAAAAATTGATTTAGATTTAAAAGAACACTCCATAGTAGTTTTATATTCCATCATATTATCATACCAGTGAAGAGAATTTCAAACCACTATGGGTTATCTGCAATAACGGCATCTCTGCATTGTCTATATTACACAAATTACGACATATGGCACTTGAAAAGTAACATCACTCTGACTACTACTTGTCAAATATACTTGCATTACATGAACACACACATTATTCCTTCCATTCTCCTGAGTACATTTCACATCAATTTTTTTTTTTATGTGGCAAAACATTTCCTTGGAATTTTCTGCCCAATTTCAATAGAAAATACAATGGTTTGTTTAAAATAGTTTGTTTAAAATGGTAGTTTGACATTACAAAAACCTAAGTTCACCACTAAATTTATCAGCCAAAATACATATCACCAGATATGCTTTCTGAAGGGATGCATATTTCACCATACATTAGACACCAACACACTTGCGGGCTCCTCTGATCCAGGGTCAACAGAAATTAAGGAGGCCCCAGCACCAACACATACATGAGAGACAAGGAACCAAACAACCATTCCAAAAGTGGGACTTGGACCCGCAACCTTTCAAACAGAAGTGCTGAGTTTGTACACGCTCTTAGCCACCTCAACCATCCAGGTCAGCCAAGAAGAAGACAGCCAACAGAATTATCATGGAGAAATTTCTTATTTACACATCACTATGAACACATATGTTTATATACAGCTTGGTAACATAGCTTGGTAACATATATACACAGGAGTACCCAAACAAATATTCAAATAAATAACAAAGTTCTCAAAATATACATCCGTATAAAATTTATGTGCATCACAAACATGCAAAAACATATCATTCATTCGGCTGCAACTGGAACAATATCCTTCAGTACACACAGGAATATACAATCAGGTCAATTCCCACATGAAGTGCAATTTTTTGAAATTGGAACACATTGTATTTGAATATCCATATGACCTAGCATATTAATTAGCAATTATAGCAAATGTCTAAAAAGTAACTCAAATCGTCTGTTAAATATTTGAAATTAGGATGTGCAATGGTACCAAATATTTCATGCCTATTTTCAAATACGCTCCCTTTTCATTTTTGACAAAAGATTCTTCATATTATATAGGGTTCATTAAGAAAAACAAGTGTTCAGAAAATGTAACATTTCTTCAACAGTCAACCGAGTTTAATTTTAATTTCACTGCTGCTGTAGAACAAAAAGACATCCAGATTTGATTTCCTTTGGTGACATAGTGTCTGATTATAAAGAAGTGCACTACCAATTTCTGGGCACAATGTGTATTATCATGTTCACTCTCCTGTGATCCATATGTGGTTCACAAAACATAACACTCGATGATTTTACTACGTCCCTGAACCACATGTGGATCACAGATGTTTACAACTTCCATGGCAAATATTCCCATGAAGCTCCCCATAACTATACAGATTTTAGTGTGGACTTGCTAGGACAGTCATAACATTTAGAAATACACCGGGATGTGCGAAAAAATATTTTTATTTTTGAGAATATTACAGTAAAACTTTCTGACAGTCAGAAACGTTTGGATGTGGAGAGATATTTTAATGTTTTCATAGGGATAGGGAACGTGTTATATAAGTACATGAACACATGCATACAGAAATGTCATTTAAATTTTGTATACCCGAAAGTAAATCAATGCCCAGATCCATGCTCATGCCCATAGTCACAGAGAGAAGCCAGAGTAACTCTCAATATCTACATAACAGCTTAACCAAACTTTATGAAAAAGTAAATTAAGTGTGCAAACTTACACGGCGATGTCCCTCCTTAGAACACTTGGACATGTGCACTACCTCATGAGTCGAAAACATTTTAGCCCTATGAGTATTCTCCCGGCAATGACTACATAATGCTTGCCCTGTAACAAGAGCCAAAAATGAAGTGTTTCTGAATTAATATTACAGAGGATATGACAAAATTCAACATTCTAAAACAATAAATGATGTCCAAACATATGTCACTGTCTATGACAGAAGACTTCATTCAAATAATTTGAATTTTATATACAATATAGTATGAAGAAACAATCATGGCAAATAAACAAAAAAAAAAAAAATTCAAATACAATTAAACAATCTTTTGCAAGAACACAGTAACAATGAACTAATTACACAACAATCAATGCCAGTAAAATAAAATTTAAATAATCTTTCTCGGAAAACAAATTAAGAAATTGATTGTTGCAAAAATATTATATGGTTCTTGAAATTCCATACACTCACCATGGTTATTAGTACAGTTCACTTTTTTCTAAACTGTTGCATGCTCTTTACAATAAATGAAAAAATTCCATTGAAATGTGACAATTCATTTTTACGATTTGACTCAATTCTATTTGGCAGGATCCCAACACAAAGCGTTGCATGCAGCGGTCAGAGTTACATATGCCATGAATTACAATAAAAGCAATATGGAGAATTCTGCCCAAAAACATTTTCTGATTTTAAAAACTAAAAATGCAGAAATAATTACAAACATTATATAACATTTCAATGGTATCTCAACTTACCACATGTTGAACAAAAATACATTGAAGCTTTATCTCTTTTGTCACAGTTTGCACAAGGAGGGTTTTCAGCATTGGAGAGTTCTATTAACTGACGCATCAACATATCAGCTGGAGGTAGGGGTGCTCCTTCTTTCAACTGTGTTGTCTGCCTACAATTTTTACAAAAGTATTAGCTTAATAGACATTTAATAATAATATTGTTAATACATTCTACTAAACATTACAACTTAAGCCGTCTACTCTACAAAAAAACAGCTAGCAACTGATTAAGCACTCATTTATAGTTTATATTGGATGGAGGTTATCTACATATTATCAATGTTTAAAACAACACAGAAGAAAAAGTTCCTCAATAATCACAACTCTCAACTCATGTGGCCTTCTAATGACTATTGAACACCGAAGTCAGCAATATAACGATCACATAAAACATATCAAATAATAATACTAATAATAAATTTGGGTATGTTGGAGATAATGTATATTCCATTCCTAACTCCCAAGCAGTGGCCCAGATTCACATTCATCAAGCTTCCTGAAACTGTCTGAGGTTTCCATGTAATTTGGCATTTTATATTACTGAAGGTATATCATGAATAAAAATTCATCATCATAAATTTAAACAATTTTATACTGGTAATCAGGTGACCCAGCATTTACAAAAGCATTCGTACCATAAATACATTTTTGTGGTTGAAATTTTCACAGGATTTTAATTTTCCATAAAACAGTCATCAGCTTGCAGATTTAGAAATTGAGAATCAATGCTTCTGGTTATATTAAATAGAAGAAAAATGAAGTGTTCTATTCAGTATCAAGTAATACACATTTGTGCATAATATAAACAGCAGGAAATGTAAGTTGCAACAAACAAAATATTTCAACACAATACCTTAGCTATTTAAAACATTCTCAAATTTTGTAATGCCTCTTAAACCTTCAAAAATATTTGAATAAAACAGCATTACAACTTGACTGGGCAATTTTACTTTACTAACAATTATCAATTTTCAAATACACATTGAAGCACAGCACTTTTGAAGCAAATGCAAAGATTTTCCGCATTTTCCACATGAAATGCAACAGTGATTACAAAATTATTTTTCCTGAATGTTTACTAATTTTATTACATTACTGCAAAACGAAAGAAACCAATTACAAAATTGCATGAATAAAAACCAAACCCAATATTCTCATGCTCTAAAATTTATAAAACAGAGAAGTTACCAAATCATAATTGGAAATCAATAATCATAATTCCAAGAATAATGGAAATAAACAGAATATTGATTTCAAACAAAATTAGAACTGCAGGGAAAATCCTTCATTTTCATTAGTAAATAAAACAAAATATGGAAATAAAATGTTACATGAGAAAGTATGCAATGACACTACAAAATTCAACGATTTTTCTGCAACACTATTCTTCACTGCATTTAATAATAAAAAAATAAGAATCAAGAAAAACACTGTGGGCTCCACATTTCTTTAACTTACTATTTGCCCTAGTTCTGAACTTTACAACAGAGACAACTTTACACTAAGAGTATTGAGTATGCATAAAAAGTCTCAATAATTGAAATTATGTTGAAGTTGTTTTTTTTTATGTAATTGAGAATGAAGGGACTTTTAGGAAATTTAAATGAAGGGACTACATTTATATTACAATAGCTATTGTAGTACTACTATTATTTTACCAGCTTATGCAAATGTAATAGTAATAATCAAAAGCACTCTTGACATTAGGCATGGCAAATAATATAATAAACAGACAACCACAACAATCAAACACTTACCCACAAAGTGGACAGGTTAGTTTTCCATCTACATCTCTTCCCCGAAGGCATCGTGAACAAAATGTGTGATAACAGGAGAGTAAACAAGGCTCAGAGTAGTAATCATCACATAAAAAACACAAAAGAGGGTTCCTGGGCTGAAGGGCTCCATCACTTGGTGCCCCTTCAGCACCTGGGCCATCAGATGAATGAAATGGGCCGGACATTTGGGAACTTTCACATTGACAGAGAGCAAAACGAACTCAGATCATACTTGGAGATCACTGAAATCACATTTAACACAGAGCATTTTATAAAAATGCATCACTACCACAATGCATGGTTATTCTACGGCTACTTTTCATTCATATAAACGATGTATATGTCTATTATCTCAATAGCTGTCAAGTCCGCTCAGACCGCGATCACAACCTCACAACGTATACCACTACACATACAAACATTTTCTGGCAGCAGAAGATTCAGATTTAACTGATGAATAAACGAACAATATACATATACATACACAACTACTTGAATAAATAAGTCCTGAACCTACAAGCACAATTTTCTCCTGAGACGAAATCGCAATTCATTCTTCTTCAAAACGTCACTATTCTTACTACGATTCATAAACAATTCTAAAAACTAACACAACAGAACATGTAACGTCCTCAATATTTCCATCCCCTTCTTACTCACACAAAATAACATGAAAACAAAGTTTCCCAGCAGTTCATGATCGCAAACCCACAGAGTAGTCTGCTCCCCATGTGATAGACCAAGATGGCTTTCGCCATCTGTAGTGATCTGTAGTCATCCATCCACTCCAATCGTAGCCATTTCCTCGCGAGTTCATATTCGTTAGGTTTACTTTACTGTTCACTCATAACTTTAAGGTTCATCCAGCAAGATCCATTTCAATTGTTTTGTAATCAAAAAGTGTTTATTAATCTCCTCTCATTCAAAGATATATGTTTATTACAATAACTAGCCTCTGCTTCTCCAGGGAAGTGCAGGGAAGCCCCTAGACTAGACACCGAAACACATGTACTGCCCACAGGCCATATGTCATCTTAACACATATTTCAAGAAATATTTCAACTTTCCCTCTCGTATGGAGAAATTCTTGTAGTTTTTGATGTCTCATCTTGTACACATAATTCAAACATTTGAAATGCTTTTAGCACTATTAGTAAAACGCAAAAGTTGCGAAGTTATTAACGCTTAGTAGCTGTCAATGCGTACCGCCGTACCACGGCTTCAAAAGCCAAGAATATGTGTTTTTGAAGTGAATACGGAACACAATTCTTCTTCTTCTTCTTCTTCTTCTTCTTCTTCTTCTTCTTCTTCTTCTTCTTCTTCTTCTTCTTTCGTTTGCTCAGATTGGCCCACCAAAAAAATTCGTTTGACGATCCACAGACAAGAGCTAGACGCGGAAACAATATTGGGGCCATCTCCACGCTGGTCGGAAAAAATTCGCTTACCTACGCTGGTTCTACGCTGAAGGAGTAATTATGATATTTGATATTGTGCATACTATTTATTAAACAAATTATGTCTGAAATTCCATAGAGAATTTGTGGATGATGTAATAGTTAGCTCAAACATTATTTTTTTAATTTAAGTTTGGTTAAAATCCCAATTTTTTTCCGGCCACGGGGGTAACATCCAGCCATCTTATGGTTTGTCTTCCGACTCAGCGGGTGCGTAAAAGTCAATTCTTCACACACAGTAGATTTCTGCAAGCGACAGATATGGTCAAGCCACCTTACTCTAGCCAGTTTGATTTCTCTAACAATTGCAATGTATAACTCGTATCTTTCTGTGAGTCGGATTCTCCATTTGCTGCAGTCCTGCATGGCCCAGTCAGGCACGATTCTTCTCAAGATTTTTCTCTCAAATACACCTAGTACATTTATATAATTTTTTACTTAAGGCTAGACATTCAGTTACATCACTATAGGTTTTAGAAAAGTCTTATGTAATTTTAGCTTATATTTCTGTTGTAGGGATCGCGAGCCAAAAAGTTCTTTTACTCCAAAGTAGCTTATGTTTTCCATACTTATCCTGGCCAAATTTCAGCTGTTGAAGAGATATCATGCGTCAGAAGTGTTCCAAGATATTTAAAGGTCTTTACCTTATCAAAGGAATATTACCCTATTTCAATTGATTTCGTGTTAGTTTTCTTCTTTGTTAATTCTATATATTTGGTTTTTCAAGTATTGACTCTTAGTCCAATCTCTTTTGCCGCATCAGTCAAGCTTAATGCCGCTTCCAGTAACCCCGTAATAGTTCTCCCCAAGATCACTACATCATCCGCGTAGACAGAGTTGTACCGATTTCCTCATTATCGTATCTGTAACTATGCCACCAGAAACACGTATTGCTTTTCTAAAACTACGATAAAGAGTAAGCATGACAATGCATCCCTCTATCTTAATCTCTGTGCGTTGTCAAAAGGATCGGATAACCATCTAGTTACTTTCACTCTGCACTATACTAGTCGTACCAGTCTGATAAGTTTCTTTAGGATGCTACTCTTCCATGACCTCAATTAGTGTCTTCCTATTAATAGTATCATATGCTGCTTTGAATCAATGAACAGGTAAAAAATGCTCAAACTATACTTCCTGGATCTATTTGTTTGTTCGTTCGTTCGTTTATATATTTATTTATAATAGCTAATTTACTAAAACAAACTTTTTCTTAGGAAAAATATCTTCAAGTTGATAGTTTTGAAATTAATTTTCAAATTTTCGAAAAAATCGAGCAATACCCGCAGATGGGACTAGCACCATGTTCCTTACCATCCTTACTTGATGCGTGAAGAAAATTTAAATTAAAAATTTGAGCGATTTTTGAGAAAAAAATCGTTAATTTCAAGCGCAAGTTACGAAAAACTACGACCAATTACAAAAATGTGCACGACCTTTTTTAAAAACCTAATTTTGTACAACTGACTTGGTCTGAGCCAAAAACTTCTATCATCAATTTTTTAGTTTTAATTATTTTTTTTGTTGCGATTATTTTTAGAGGTCAACGCGTCGTGGTACCATCAAAACTACATGCTGCTGTTTTGGAGGAACTTCATCGAACTCATATCGGAATTTCAAAAAGGAAACAACTCGCACGCCGGTATGTATAATGGAAGAACATGGACAAGGATATCGCACATATCGTTCGAGCATGTTTTGAATGTGCAAAAGTGAAAAATAATCCAGCAAAAGCTCCTCTACACCCATGGCAAGAACCAGAAGAAAATTGGCAGCGTATTCACAACGATTATGCAGAACCATACCAAGAACATCATTTTTTAGTTGCCATTGATGCAAAATCGAAATGGGCCGATATTGAACCATGCTCGTCAACGCCATCTGCAGCATCAACCATCGAATTGCTCCAAGAAATGTTTCAAGACACGGATTTCCAGAAGTAATAGTTAAAGATAATGCTACAGTATTCACCAACAAAAATTTTCAACACTTCTGTAAAACAGGCATTTTTTGCAAATTCATCGCGCCAGGATACCCTGCAACGAATGCATTAGCAGAAAGAAATGTGCAAACATTGAAAAAACGCTAAGCAACAATGATCAACAAACCACTTTCAATGCGAAAGAAAGTTCGGGATATTCTTTTCAGGTACAGTGCGACTCCTTTAAACAACCAGAGAACCCCTGCTGGACAGTATCTCAACCGCAACATTAGCATTGAACTAGATGCACTGAACCCATAAAATTTCAGAACACTCAAACATCAATGAAGAAGACACGTCAATTAAGTGTGGGAGAACGCGTACAAGCGCGCTACTACACTGCCAATAAAAACAAATGGAAGTTAGGAGTAATTATCACAGAAATAGGACAATTGCACTATCTAGTGAAATTAGATGACGGTTACATCTTCAAACGGCATATAGACCAACTTCGATTAATGGAAACTCCAGAACCGACTTTAGCGGAAACGCCAAATAAAAAATTAAGGTTTGCGCCGAATCTTGATAACCAAAAACATCAAGTTGACTTGTGGGATTTGGTACACATGTCATTGAACCAGCGTAATGAAGAACTGAACGTAGATCAACTAGAAGTCCCAGTTGACATAGACACACTAGAAATAATTGAAGAAGAAGAATCAGGGATCGAACGAGGCCATCGCCCGGACCAGACTCTACGTCGATCTACAAGACCTCGGCAACTACGAAGACGCCTCAACGACTTCATACTTAAAATGCAATGTTAACACGTTTTCAAATAAGCTTGGGAGAACTGTCATGACAAAAAACATGTGGACACGCATTGGCATCATCTCTTCATTTTCATTGGTGCAAAGTGGTGCCATCTCGGAGCTGAGCCTTGACTCTCCACTTTATTACAACGGTGATGCTAGTTTTTTTTTCCTACTTGACGCAACTTGTACAGTTTAATTTTAGTTCAAATAAAATCTTAAAACGAATCAGATGGCGCAGTGTTTTTCTATACCTTTTAGCAAGCCAATAACAATCAAAGATACAAGAACATGGTACTTGGAAAGGTATGTTTTACGAATATAAATACAACCGCTCCAAAAATAGAAAATGCGCTTATATACAACAAGGAATTGCTCTTCAAGACTGGCCATTTCAACCAGCAAAGTGTGAAAATGCTCTTCCAAAATAGACTGAGAAACAAATTAAATTTGGAAAAGGAGGCCAATCCCTCAGAAATGTATCAACACTGGAAGGGAAGTATTTTGGAAGCAGCTAAGGAAGCTCTTGGGGAAGAAGAAAGAAAATGGAAACATACGGAAATGTTTTCTGAGAATTTAGAAGAAATGATTAAAGAGAAGAAAAAGGCATTTATAAAATGGTAAATGATAAAACACCAGAGTCAAGAGAGAAATATGGTTTGTTTCGACAAGAATTTAAATTAGGTGTAAGAATGAAAAAAAATGAATATTCGAACAGATTGTGGACGTATCGATGGAACTGTTCGATACAATAAATCATCTGAAGCCTGGAAAATTATCAAGATAATAAGAAGAAATAATGAGTGTAACAGCATGGTGCAAAGAATCCCCTCACATAAATGGAGATACCTCCACTAAACGCTTCTACAATGAAGCAGACCAGAATGTGAATCAGAAGAAGGAATAAGAGATATGGAGGAAAACAATTTTGAAATAACTGAGGATGACATTAATAAGGCACTATTCTCAGCAAAAACAAATAAAGCCCAGGACCGAGAAATATAAGAATGGAGCACCTGAAAAAATGGTGGAGATATGGTTATGAGATATTTAAAGAAAATGTTCAATGAGGTAGAAGCAGGAGAGGAACTACCAGCAGAATAGAACACATTCTACATCTCTTCAATATATAAGAAGGGAGACAAAAGTTCATGTGTGAATTACAAGGGAATAAGCGTCATACCATCAACAGCAAGATTGTTTTTTAGTATTTTGAGAAAAAGTTGAAGAATATGTACCTGTATTGAGTGAAGAGCAGAGTGGTCTTAGACGAGAACGATCATGCTTAGATAACATCCACTGTACCAGACAAGTTATAGAGAAACATAAAAGCAGAAATATGGATATTTATGTGACCTTTAGATACCCCCAAAAAGCATATGATAGTGTCATAAGAAAAAAAGGTATGAGAAGCAATGATATAAAATCTTTACAAAAACACCGAAGCGCGAATTAGAATAGGAGATAAGTTAATTGGAAGCATTCCGATAAACAAGGCTCTAAAACAAGGATGTGGGTTATCTCCTATCTTGTTCAATAGCTACCGAGAACAAGCCCTACATAACTGGTACAGGATATGTTCAGGCATGGAAATAAAAATTGGAGACGACACCTTTCACTCCCTTCCATTTGCTAATGACCAGGTAATCTTTCCTCAAGATGAAGAGGATATGGTGTATATGCTCTGAAAGCTAACAGAAGAACATAGTAAATGGTGATTAGAAATAAATTTTAATAAAACTGAATGTATGTGCAATGGACAATCAATAACGGATATAGACGTTAATGGTAACAAAATTAAAAGCTATAGCACCTTCAAATATATTGTATCTTCAATAAACAATTTGCGTACATGTGCCACTCGAGAGTAATTATGGGGAAGAAAGCAACGAAAGCTTTAGACG